CCTGCTGAAATCAATGGGTCTGTCTTTCTAGATCAGAGCCTAAAATTTGTCCAAGACATTGAGAGAATATAATGAGTGTCTCCCAAGTCCTACACGAGCATCTTCAACCTGCACTCATTTCTCTTTGCCCCATGTTTCTGAAGAAAACCTTTGTTTCTCTTACTCCAATGACTCCCATGATACAAGAGCTCTCTGACTACAAGCTCCTGATGATATGAGGAGATGAAAGATGGTCCCAAAACACAGCCCCATCTCCAGGTTTTTAGCGTGCACCATGTGCAAAAATACAGGCTTGTAACCGGCACGTGTGGCTGCTCTAACGGCAGGGCCACCAACGATACCTTCACAGGTGATTGCACACAGAAAACCTGCCTCTGCCTTTCAAAGGCCTGGCCCTGAGACCTCCAGCTGAGGATCAGCAGAGCAGCTTCCAGCTGGGAGGACTCCAACATCCCCTCTGTGAGCCTGGCTCTCCCTGCAGTGCTGCTGGCCATGGTGTGCTGAGCTCCAGCCCAAGCCTTGGCCATGACAAAGGGCAGGACACGCTCGCAATGAGCCCAGGATAACTGCCTACAGCTGGTTGAGCCTTGGGGAGGTGGTTGGCCCCTTACAGAGAACCCCCCAGGAGCTGACTCTTGGGGCACCATTAACAGCTGTCTCTACGCGCCCAAACATTTCACCATCCCAGCTGGAAGACAGGTCTCATGGAGCTATTACTCAGCAAGAGGAGGAGAAGAAGGTAACATGTGAGCCAAGGCAAATCAAGCCAAGAAAAGCAGAAAATTGAAACAAAAAAGCCCCCCATCCTCAGTCCATGTATGGAAACTTGGTCATGGCAGCCTTTGCTGCTCAGCAGGACTCTTGCTGCACAGCAAGGTGGTAGAGCAGTGGGGATGGCAAACTCTCCAGGTCACAGAAAGCCCATGTGAAAACACCAGCATCAAGTTCTCAATGACCCGTCAGCGACGCTCGCCTACACTGCAGAGCTGTGTTCCATAACAAACACATAACTGCTTAACTCTGCCTATCAAAGTCATCCAGCTCCCAACACCCTTTTAATTTTTTTACTACTTTGGTCCTTCTTCCTTCAACCTAAGAAACCGAAAGTTTGGAAAACACACAGCCTCCACCTTCTCCCCCTGATGGCTTCCAGTGATAGATGCTTACAACCCAAGGAATGCTCTATGTCTCAGCTTATAATTGTTACCTACGTTTAATAGATTTCTAGATTCTCCAGCCAAGTTCCATATTATACACTGGGCTGAGTTATGAGCTGTGGCCAGCTGCCCAATGGTTAGAAACACACTGTAAATCAGGGACACCAAATTACTAATAAAAAGTATGTTCCTACTGTGTGATTCAAAATATGTCAAGTTTCACATAATCGTATATTCATTATAAGCTGCAATCCTCTTTTTATTGGTTTACATAGGCTGGAATTACAAACATATTACAGCAGCATTTCATCACATGCTCTTTAGGTTCTGGTAACTGTTGAAACAGAAACCGTAGACTGAAGAAGAAAAAAAGAACAACAACCCAAAGAAAACAATCTCCTGTAGCTTCACCACTTCAGCCTTCAAAGAGGTTTAGGGCTTATTTCTCCCTCTCTCAAAAAAAAGGGAGAAAGTTCAGCATTTTCCACGACTTTTCTAGAGTTGATACCTTTAATCATCTTTTTTTCTAACTTTTCTTTCTTTTTCTACTATTTTAAAAACTAGGGAAAACGTCAAATTAATTTGATGTGCTCCAGATATCCTCTGCATCTCCAGTGCTCGTAGTGAGACCTGCTCCTCCCTTCACCACCCCCTCAGCCAGCTCTCTCAACAGCCAACCTGCTTCACCATCCATAAAACCTGCTGGCTCCCTCTGTGGGACCTCATCCAGAGCCCACTAACCCCAGAGATGCCCATTGGTTCAGACCTCTGGGGAACACCCCAAGGCCACCATGGCAAGGTGGTGGCAAAACCAGAGGTCCATGCAGAGAAGACTGGCCCTGTTGTTGCCCCTGGGGCAGGTTGTTCTGATGAAGCCCTGTTTTTCAGCATTTTCTCAGTGAGAAGAGGCTGGGACAGCACACAAGAATGGTTACAGTAAGTCCAACAATGGCTCACCTGAGCCTGGTGACCTGTCCCCAGAAAACCCAGACTCAGTTGTTTCCAAACCAGCCTGGTTACAAACACAGCTGGAGATGTTCCCCTTGCCTGGTCCCACCTGAAAGTTGGATTTCCTGAGCGGAAAGCAGCAGCCAGGCCTGTCCTCTCCATCTGTCTTGTTCTTTTTTTGAGGCCATTTCTACTTTTCGTCTCCACAGTTTCCTGTAGCAATGAATCCCCCAAGTCACTCGTTGGAAAAAGCACTTCCTTTTGTTGGCCTAAAATCTGCTACCCAATAGCTTATGTGAATATTTACATGAGGGAGAGCAAACGTGTGCAGGGGAAGAGAAGTTCCCCATAAATAAAGCGGGCTGGTGGTGGTGGTGAAGACTATCCACTGGATGAACTCTCGAATGGATATTTCCATCCTGCTATTACATTTGCTACATCAATATAATGAGCTAACTTCAAAGGAGCTCAAAGAAAATAAATTCTAATTTGGTGGGAAAGAAACCTGCTCCTTTTCTCTTTCTCTCTCATAAACAGCTATTCCATAAATTATAATGCAGTGAGAAAGAAACCTGCTCCTTTTCTCCTTCTTTCTCATAAACAGATATTCCAAGTCTACTGGAAGGATCTGTGTTTAGGTTTAAGGCACACGGACTGGCTATGGGACTACACTGGCAGGAGGAGCAGAGCTATAGGATGTGTCATTAAAACACATGTACCTGCCAAACGCTCCGTAGGTGTTCACTATTCTGAGAGGGTTGAACGAGGTGTTCATGACTTGTCTGGAGTTGAGCAAGTTTAAGACAACCGGGATGCTGAGATAAGCAATCAGGAAGCCAAAGGAGATGTTCACCACTTTGCGGATATAGCAACCTGTTTGAGACACAAAAAAAAGACCAGAAGAAGGTGATTTCAATGCTGGTGATGGGTTCTGCTCCCCCCAACTCTCCTACCCAACCCTCCACCATGGAGCCCGGGACCCTGCCCGGGTGCTCACAGCTGCTCTGGACAAATGCTCCACCATAATCAACCTGACCTTGCCAAAGGCCGTACGCTATCGCTTCAAAGATCTGCCTTTCTCTAAATAGTCTGAGAAAGGGCTAAAAAGAAAAATGTCGAAAATGTCAGATTAATCATTGCTTTAATACTGGGGAAAAAACACAGCTGGCACTTGCACCTTGCTCAAAATTGCCTTCCTGGTCTGTAAGCCGTGGTGGAAGGTCTCCAGCTCCCCATGGCTCCGCTCTTGTCTCCTCCTCACTGCTCCAACTCTCATCACCCAGACTTATTTCTTTGCATTTTCCTCCCTCTTGCTCACTCACTTCATTCAAAACCTCATTTTCCTTTTGCAAAAATCTCTATTGCTTCTCATTTCTGTGGTGCTTCACCAGCGCTTTGGTATTCAGTTTGCAGGAGCAGTGCAGGGTTGGGCTGGATTTCAGTCCGAGCAGACACCTACTGCCATCAGACAAATAAGCAAAAGTGACCTCTGAGGGTTCCTACCCACATGGACCTTTTCAATTTATTGAACATTAACAGCCAAAGGATCAGATTCAAAGCAACTGCATGTCGCTTTCCCCTTATCTCTGCAGGAGAGGGATGTTTATTTGAACCTCTCTCAGAAGCTATTAATAATTGTTTAGTCTGAGAACATTTCTGGAGAATCATTTGATTTGGGAAGGAGCTTGCTGAGATGCCTCCCCTCACCTCCTGTGCTGCTGCCAGAGCACTATGAGGCTGTTGGGCATTTTTGTTGTTGTTGTTTTTCAGATGGGCTAAACTTTCTAAAAGAGCAGGTACAGACACAGAAGCTCTCCAGCACACGGGTAACATCAGCAGCTCCTCAGGTCACACGTGATGGCCATGCATGGACTGCTCGTCCTTCAGCAGGTGGTGATGATCATCATCGTGCCCTTGGGGTCACAGCTATTCAGTCATAGAGAAAAAGGGTTTAATACAGGGGAAAAAAACAACCCCACAAGACTTGGGGAACAAGCATGGGACAGAGCCAAGGGGATCCTGGAGAAAAGGAGGCTGAGGGGAGACCTTCTGGCTCTCTACAGCTACTTGAAAGGAGGGTGGAGAGAGGTGGGAGTTGCTCCCTCCTCCCAGGTAACAAGTGACAGAACAAGAGGAAATGGCCTCAAGTTGCACCAAGGGAGGTTTAGATTGGATCTGAGGAAAAACTTCTTCACCCAAAGGGCAGTCAAGCATTGGAACAGGCTGCCCAGGGAGGTGGTGGAGTCACCTTCCCTGGTGGGATTTAACAGACGGATAGATGAGGTGCTGAGGGACATGGTTTAGAGGTGGAATTGGTAGTGTTGGGTTTATGGTTGGACTCGATGGTCTTAAGGGTCTTTTCCAACCACTACAACTCTGTGATTCTGTGATCTGGATGGAGCAGGCAGGAGCTGAGCATCAGCAATGGGCATTTGAGGTCTCAGGAGGAATTACAAACACACAAACTTCAAAGATGTGGCCGAAGCCTTGTAAAATCATGGCTGGGTCTCCTCCTGTCTTCTGCTCTGGTGACAAGGGGTGAGGGCTCCTCTAAGTCTCTTGTCCCACAGCCCATCAGCACCATCTCAACAGCCTCTGCTTTGTTAGCAGAAAAAATATGCAGAAATCCAAACGAATCCAGACCAGGACAGACACCCTACCCTTTACTTACAGATCCCCCCTTTTTAAAAGCCCAGAACAGGGACACATCAACACTCGGTGGCTCTCCTTGCTTGGACACCTGGGCTCAGTAAGGTTTACTGGAGAACATCACAGAAAAAGAGCAAGATCCTCAAAAAAAGGAACTACCTCCCACTCACGGTGACTCACCAAGTGCCGTAGCAAAGAGATGCCCTTTGGCTTCTCCAGAAATGAAGGTGCAACTTGGGTGTGGTTGAGGACTGGATGCAAAAATACAGTTGGTGGGAAAGCTCGAGGGTCTCACAACCTCTAAAATAAAGCCACTGGAGGGGAAAAGCAGTTTAAAGATTTCTTCCAGCAAAATATGTAAGATAGGAGACTCAAAAAATGTAATGAAACTGCCTTAACCTCGCTGGAGCTAATGCTTCTGGTCAATCAGCTGCTCCTTGGTAGATGAGAAAGGATTAGAGACAGATGTTGTATCTTGTTGACATTTTTCATTCTACTGACAGATGTTTAGCATATTTAAAAAGGAGCATCTGTGATTGTTGTTGATATTCTAGACGATTTGTTGCTTATATGCGGTTTATAAAAATGCGACAAACTCAACTCTACATCTGTTACGCAGCCTCGTGAAAAATACCCCAGTGTTGCTTGGGCAGGAGATCTTCTGGAATGGGGCTGCTTGAGAAGTCCCTTCAGAAGGACACACCAGCCACATTGATCCCTTTTGTCCCATTCCTTTGTATCTGCTTTTCCATATTCATGGTGTAAACAGGAGTTCACCTCCTCCCCACTTTGGGGGACTCACTCGTGGCAGTGTCCATGGACATCTGCTCCTCCCACCTTCTCCAAACAGGACACTGTGAATGGGGAACAGCCACTTTCCCAGCAGCCAGGTCTCTTTCCCAGTTAGTAAAAGAGTTGTTGGACCCACAAGGGGTCAATAATCAATTTAGTTCTTTCTAGAAGACCAACCTCATGTCCAGTTATTCAACCAAAGAAGCAACGTGCTCCTGCAGCAATAGCACCTGTGGGCATGAAGGGCAGGAGGGCAGATGGGTGACAGGGTCACTGTGCCATGAGGGACAGAGGACAGAAAACACGAGCTGCTTCTGCACTCAACTTCTAACACGAAACCCTTGCCTCAAACCACAGTGGGTGGTTCATCCTTGACTTTAAATAGTCAAAATAATAATAAAAAAGGTTAAAAAAACCCCCAAATCACAAGAGAAATCATCCCCGTTGCTTATTTAGGGTTATGTCTGATGCTCACTGGGGTGAGAGCAAGGACGACATCACTCAGGTGCAGAGGTGTCAGAGCTGCAGCTGCCTGGACTTGCTGTGGTCTCCACCTCCACAGCAATGTCCTCATAACAATGTCCCTGTCACCAGATTGATGCTCATCCTCCACAGCGTGAGGTCCAGGCACCCTCCAACCCGCAGAGGAGATGGTGCAGGGGCAGAGCCATCTCCCTGCCCACCCACGTTTGCTCCAGGAGATGAGACCTTTGAGATAAACACACCAAACACACCTCTGTGGAAGTTTTTTCCAGCTCTGGGAATAAACTCACCGTATCGCAGGGGAAGCTGCTCCCTGGCTGCCTCTCTGAGCTGCATCTGTGCCACCCGCTCCTTCACTCCTCCTGGTCTGGAGCTGAAGAGGAACCCCAGGCTGGTGTCATCAAAGCAGGCGATGCTGGGCACTATGGTCAACCAGTTGAGGAAACTCAGGTTTCCACTTATGATCAGAAGCACCTAAAGGGACAAGAAGGCAGCAGAGTGGGTTACATCTGCTTAAAGGACAAGAGAAAAACGTGGTGAAGGAAACACCAGATGGATTGAGCACCTGAGCACATACTTTGCTGATTTTCCCTGATAGGAACAGCGATGGGAAACTTCTCTCTCCCTGCCCAGGCTACAGCCCAGATGTA